TTTTGGTGGGTTTTCGGGTTTTAGGGCTTAGGGTGGTTGAGATTTTGGTGGGTTGGAGGGTTTAGGGGTGGTCTTGAGATTTTGGTGGGTTTTCGGGTTTTAGGGTTTAGCGTGGTTGAGATCTTAGTGGGTTTTAGGGCTTAGAATTGTAGGGTTTAGGGTTTAGGGTGGTCTTGAGATTTGGTTTAGGCCCGTCCCAACGCTCCCCTGCGCAGGCTTGCGTTTCCCAGAGGCAGAGCTGCGGCCACTCACCTGTGCAGGCAAGCGCCTCCACCATCAGATCCGCACGTTATTCGTTCCATCGCACCAAACACAAAGCTTTGTCACAAATGCACCAAGGAGCAAAACAAGATTCTGTTTTTGTGTGCGCGCAAGCATGAGCATTCGATTGAAGCGCAGGCTCAGTTAGGGTTGGCCATTTATGGCAGACCTCTAAGCAAGAGGAAAACACAGGATTCTAACAACATCAAGTGCCAAACGTGCCTGTAGCACCGTGAGTAATACGGTTTTTTGTGTTTTGGACAACAAAAAAGAATGCAAGTGGTAACAGTACCTAGTGCAGATGGAGCCTCCAAACTTGCTACAAGAGCATGTGCTGTTCCATGGTGTAACATGTTAGATGAAGCACTTACCAGACGCTTGCCAGAGCTGGGTACCATTGGTGAAAACACGCCTATAATCTGCTTTTTGCTCCACTCTGTTAAGATGCTGGAACCTTTTTTGATTGCAGTTGTTCAAGTTGACTGCATTTGGCAGTGCTGTTGCTTTGTTTTGTTTGCAGCAGATTAAGCGCGTGGGCACAGACATTGGCTGCGAGTGAAGGCATTGATTGTGACGGAACGCTTCTCAACTTGGATGCAAACGACCTAATTCCCAAAACGTTGCAAGACATTGGCTGCGACTCCATGAGACCTTCATGTCGGAACTGACCAGTTTCTGGAATGTCCTTAGCTTGCTTGCAGCTGCGTGTAGCAACTGCGAAATTGCAGGTTGGCGGTATTTGTCGGAAGAGAAAATTGAAAACGCAAAAAAGTGCAAAGCAGTTGTTGGTCGTGAGCCGTTCGGTTGTTTCAGGACACAAGACAAAATTCCAACTGCACTCCAAGTACAGCAAAGCGTCCTTTGGCAAAAGATCAAATTTGAAGTCTTCGGCCGCTTCTTGCAGCGCTATTTCTCTTCCCGTCTTGTCTTTGCCACCTTCTTCAATGGATGCCAAGTAGTGGTTTTTGACAAACTTGGACTCCTGCGATAGAGACGGTAAATGTCTTTTCTGGAGATTTGCCGAAGTGCAAACATCAGTCTTTGCGGAGGCAACTAAGACGCAGACTTTCGTGGGGGGCTCGCCGTACTGCCGCTGCAACCAAGCAAACAGGATGAAAGCACGTCATCGCATGTCATCAGGGCGGATCTGGAGCTGGCTTTATGGCACGGCTCCGAGTTCTTACCAGGAATGTGTATCTTCCGGCACTTGTTTAGCTACGGTGCGACTGTGATCATGAAGCTAATGAAGCATCCACCGCCAGTGCTTGGCTGCGTGGCTCTGAGTGTTGTTCACATTTAAGCTGGCATCAGCAGTGATTGAGCAGTAAGTCCATTCAAGGAGTCCTCCTGTGCAAGCCAATGCAAATTCTTTGCGGGGCTTCTTGTAGTGCTGTTTGCAGTCTTTGGCCCTGATTTGGAATTGATGAATGCAACACTGATGTTTTCTTCCTTCAATATCGCACGGGGTCATGAGGCTTCGCTGTCTGTGGTGCATCGGGGAGCGCTTCAGGCCGTGCAGACAATGGAGCTCCACACCACTGCCACGGCCTGAGATTATGAAGAGGCGGTAGGAGGCTTGTCACGTAGCAGCGTCGCTGCTTGACTTTCACAGCTGCTTCGAACACGGTATGGGTCAATCACAAGAACAAGAACTTGAAAAGACAATCTTGCTTGTTTGCTTGCTTGCTTGCTTGCTTGCTTGCTTGCTTGCAACAGACCAGTGCTTGCCGGGATGCTGTTGATTCTAGGTGCAAGGTGAGAGTGTGATCATGAAGCTTTTAAGGAAGCATCCGCTAGCACGGCTTCGGCTGCGTGGTTCTGAGTGTTGTACACATTAATGATAAGATGTGCGTTCTGAAGTCACGTCAGGTTGCTTTGACGTTCAGTTGCAGACTGTAGTACATTGGGGGAGAGCTTCAGGTAGTACAAAGCATCCTGGACAGGGAGCAGGACGAGTTCTGCACAAGCTGCTTGTCAAGTTTCAGCATCAGTATTGGAATTTGCCGCCAGGCCACAGAGCGTGCAGAGTGCGCCGAGATGGCGATGGAGGATGCCAGAAAGGGCGGGCGATCGGCCAAGACCGCTTGCATGAAAAAGTCGCAGAGACGGAAAGTGACCGACGTGTGCGATGGTCGAAAGCCTGAGTTCCGCAGAGTTGACCCAATCTGGTGCAAGTCAGTTCCTGTGTGCAGTTGTTGGAGGTTCCAGGAAACCATGCTTTAAGCCACTTTGAGATGCGTTGTTGCACTGCAAAGCCTTCACCTCAGTGGAACGAATGCCAACATGGTCACTGAACCGTGGGTTTCATCTGCAAACGCTCAAGTTGTTGTTTGAATTGCATAGCCACAACCATTTTGCCGCATGCTAAGTGTTCGGGCTCACAGCTCCGGACCAGTGTGTAGTGGACCGAGTATCTCCTGGCGTCTCTGGCATTATTTAACGGCACCTTGTCCGGAACCGTTGTGCGGTTGCGGTGAGTTGTAATTTCCAAAACAACTGCATCGAAGCCTGGGCACCACACCTTCTCGAGCCGCCGCAACACGCACTCCAAGAACCGTGCCCGGCAAGCACCCCGTTCTGATGTGGGGCACAAGTATGACCACGAAGTGGTTCAGGCTGGATGCACTCAAACAGCTGAGAATTCGGGTTCAGCAATGAACAGTTTCATTTGGAGGCCTTGGTGTCTATGGGCGGTTTTCCATCAAGCTCTCGCCGATCTTGCCATCGTGCGCCCTTACGCGTCAGATGCCGAGGCCATTGTCGTAGGGTTGAGGCCGACATAGGAACAGGTTTTCGGAACACTACAGGCGCCGTAATTGGAAGTCCACACAGCAACCCGGTTCCAAAGCTTAAGAGCAGAGAAGCCCTGTTTTGGAGGTTCAGTCATTGCAGAGCGTTTTCGACCACTGGTCGGAGGCACGGAGTGACGACGGCGTGCAAGCACTAAAGCCCTAAACCCGAACCCCCAAACATCCCCAAGACTCCTGAAGCTCTACATCCCGAAACACTCCGAACGCGCTTAGGCCCTAGGCCCTAGGCCCTCTAACCCGTAAGCCTTATGAGACCGAAAGATGCGTTTGAAAAGAGGTCCCGCCTTGCACAGAAGTGCCGGAAGTCTCCGTGGATGTGATTCTCGTTTTCAGCAAGACCTTTGAGGCAGGCAGAGGGTCGTCGTTGTTCGGAAGCTGTCGGCCACCATGCCATTGGGTGTTTTGGGGGTAGACAAGTTGTGTCCTTTTTGCTGGTGTCTGTGCCAGGCCTCCCCGCATGCCCAGACTGCAGCTAATGCTATCGTGACGCAATTTGAGAGACTTGGCTGAAGATCTGACCGGTACCAGAAGAGGTCTAGCTGTTCACGTTCAGAAACAAGTCTTCTGCCCTTTCCAGCGAGGAGCCTCTCAATTTCCGGCCACGAATCCAAACCCAGCGCTTAATTGTGAAAGCAAGTCGAGCAAGTGCTGTCGCTGAGGAACGGGACTTTCACCTGGGCGCAGTGCTTCCGAAGCCTCACAGTCCAGGAGGCTTTCGGGATCTTCGGGCAAACCCTAAGCTCTAAGCCTGCGTGCCAGAGGCCAACCTCACCGCTGTGGAAGATGTGTACGCAGCCTTGCTTTCATGGTGATTTAGGACTGGATCAATCGACAGGGCTTCTTTTGCATGGCAAGGCAGTTTGGTTCTTGCCCATTTAGAACGCCACATGTAGAGCCCGAGGTGCCTTACCCCTACCGGGTGGGTCCCATGAACCCTAAACCTTTTATCCTACGTCCGAGAACCCTCAACAGTATCCCAGAAAGAACCTGAAGCCCTGGAAACCCTTAGAGCCCCGATGACCCCCCGGGATCCTCATGGTACTTTCAACCTCAAAAAAGCAGCCCCCCCAAACAAACCGAGGACTCCCGTGGCTACAGCATCCGGAAGGCTTGGGTCACCGGTCCGAACAAGGCCCGAGCGCGCGAGATCTGGAGCTGATCAGTTCTTTAGGGTTTCGGGTTCTAAAGGGGGGTTGCCGGGGTTTCGGGGACTTTGGTTGAGTTTGTTGCTTGCATGGAGCGTTGTTTGTTTCTGAGGGTGGTCTGGGTGCAAGGTTGTTGCGCTTCGGGGTTTAGGGTTGTTTAGCCTGTGTTGTTTAGGTTTAGGGTTGTTTGGGTTTCGGGTGATAAGGGGGCATGACGTATGTGGGAAACTAGGTGTGCTTGTGTTTGGCAGTCCTTATGAATACGGATCCTACGACTTCGGCGAGTTTATGGTGCTCAAGCTCTTCGTTGGATATATGCTCACCGTGATCTATGGCTTGAGGTTCGTTGGCCCTGAGACCCGAAACCCTAAACCCCTAAACGCCTAAACCCTATGTCTGTTGCCGCCCCAAACTCGGAGGTCTTCAGATCCGTTCTTCGAGCTGCTGTTGCTTCTCGGCGCTTGTTTGGCAGACTTTGCGATGGTCATGCGTTTGGAGGGCTCCGAGTTGCCTGCGAGTCTGGGGTCAAGGTGGGGCTGAGTTGAGATTTCCCTTGCTTTTGGAGCAAGAAGCTTCGGGAAGTGGGGGGGTTTTGCGGTTCTTAACATATGCTTCCTTGATTTAGCCAATCTAGTTCATAGTGTTCGTGGACAGCATTGCTTGGCAGTATGTTGTACGCAGTCTAGTCGAGTCGCGAAGCTTGAGGCAGGGCTGAGGTTGAAGTCTTCGTCAAGATGCTTTTAGAGCTAAGCTTGCGGGTAATCTACAGATGCGTAAGGTCTTGTCGCTCAAATGCCAGAAATCGATGCCCTGTGTGACTCTCCTCATGCTAAGACGAGATGTCAAGAAGCACAGTCTCAAACCAGGACAAGTCTTTCGGTGAGTACAGCCACTTCTTCTACATGGAGCTTGACTCGGCCCCTGGGATTCACTCGTGGGCTGCTTATTTTGGGATGTTGGGGGACGTCCTCAACGCGAAATCCCAAACCACCGGGAGTTTTCCGAGTCAATGATGAGCGTAAAGCTCGAAGACACTCAACACTCAACATGGTATGTATTCCTAAACTCAAGGCTCAGTTCAAGTCTCAGACTTCGACTTCCCCGCACAATCACGTCTCCATTGTCTTACTGAAAAATGCTGGAGACTCTCAAAAAGTTAGGGCTAGGATGCCTTCGGCGTTTCATGAGTCTTCTGAGTTTCGCAAGCCCTGCTTAAACAGCAGCATTGGGCTTCCTGGGTGCCTCCCTCCTCCCTGACACGTTGCCAAGCTTCCAGATCGCAAGAAAGTTCAAGGGCTTTTCCTCCTCCATTCTCCATCCGGTTAAACCCCAAGCCCCCGAGGCCCTAACCCCAGTGGCTACCCTAAACTTTCGGGCCTAAGCCTCAAACCCTGAAAGCTGAAAGACGCTACGCCGCTACGCTCAAGCTCTTCACTGCAGGTGCCGATCCGTGCCGACTGGCTCCAACAGTACGTGGCCGAGGTGGCCCTGTTTCAAGGGCTTTTGAGACTGCACGACATTCTTCCCTCCAAAAAATTTCAAAAAATGTCTATACTAGGGGGAGCCGAGGGCTGTGCATCATGAAGGTTGAAGATGTTCCAGGGTCTTCTCCTTGTCTGCCTTTGGACGGCCAATTGCTGGGAGCTGCAGATCTTGTCTTAGTGCAGCACTAAACTGCTTCTCAAGACAAGGAGCCTACGACGGAGAGCACAGAGTCCGTAAGCACTGACTCTACCCACTCATCCAAAACCGTGCCACCGTCTCTTCTTGCAGGTATATTGGGGTTTTAGAGGCGTCTTATGGTAGAGGGTTTTTTCAGCCCAACGTTCCTTGCCCGGAGGCCCTCTATTATCCAACAGCGGCCATGCGCGGAAGCCGCTACAGAGGCACGAGGGGCTGGGGTAGGTCCAAGTTGGTACTCTGGCTGTAGGACTCCAGGGTTGAGGCACGTGCTGCACTACACCCAAAACCCAAAACCCAAAACCCTAAACCCTGAACCCTAAGCCAGGTGTGAGCCAAGGCTGCAGGTGAAGTAACGCAGGACACGTAAGATGCGCAGCTGGAGATCTGAAAACGGCCTGCAAGAACTGCTTTACCAGTAAAAGCGCGCGAGGCGGGTTCAGGGTTTCTGTAGTGGGATAGGGTTTGTCCTCCGGTTCTGAAGCTCTCTTTCTCGACTCGCTGCCTCCCTGCCTCCCTGCCTCCGTGCCTCCATGCCGAAGGCGACACATGGGACGGCTTTCTCAAGGATCTACCGACGGAGCTGTTTCCTGACAGGGGACCTGGCCAACTCCAGCAGTGCATCAGATCCCTAAGCCGAAGCCTGTGAAAGCCGGTGTTCAGGTCTCCAACGCCCTGACGAACTTGAAGTTTTAGTGAGCTCTCAGCAGATCACTCTCATGGACCTGCTTTACTTCTGTGTTTCGATTCCCCTGGCTGCCCTGCTAAGGCTAGTGCACATCAATGGCAACGCCATCTACAACGTGGAACATCCCTGGACGGTGCAGTTGTTGACCTACCTGGAGGACCCGTCCTTCGAAGTTGACAGCACCTTGCAACGCAAAAGTAGTCAGGTTCCGGGCGTGCAGCAGCGTTCGTCCTTGAAATCGGCATGTACCTCGAAATCCCAGTTCCCTGCAGCTTCTCAAAGTGTAGCGGGTCCCATGGAGCCCGGGGGATCCCTGAGCTCCCGAAACTCCAAGCCCCATAGGCCATAGGTTTTTTTTGACTAAACTGCCTAAACTCATTGAGCCCCATGAGGCGTTGCCTTCGACATCAGGATTGCCAATCTCAGCTTCGAGGAGTTTGGCAGCGCACTGGACCGGCACCCGGGGTTCCTTTTCCGAAAGAACACTTAGCTTATTCAGAGGCGGATAGGAAGGTCATGGGAGGCCAGAGCAGTGGTCTCTGTTGGGATCGTGAGAGCCTGGAGCCCCTTCTTCCAGCACTTCTCGTGCATGTGAGTGATGCCTGAGAGGTGCGCTTGCAGTTCAATCGGGATGTGACTTGTGTGTTACACCCAGCTCCAGAGCCCCAAACCCCTGCCGAGTGAGCACCCGCCAGCACCGGCAAGACAGTAATTGCCCCGGCACCGGACACAGAGGTTGCATAACTCTCACTTCTGCAGCGCAACGACCCTAAACCCTCAACTCGAAATCCTAAATCCCTGAACCGCTACACTCCCCTAAACCTTAAATCCTAAACCCTAAACCCCAAGACCTTTAAACCGCAAGCCCTAAACCCCGAAACATAAATCCGAAGCCTCTGTACCCTAAACGCCTAAACCCCCGTGTCCTAAATCTCGCCCGACTCCCATCTAAAGACCCATCTACAGCAGCCCTTGAAACCTCAACAAAAACCGCCGCGTCTGCTCCAGGACTCTCCCTACAAGGCCGATTCCCTGCTCATTGGAAACTATGCCCAGATGCCGCTCTGGGTTGAGGGTTTAGGGTGCTTTGTGTTTAGGGTGTTTCGGGTGTTTTGGGTTCAGGGTTTAGGGTTTCGGGTTCTGGCCAAACTGTCGCGGATCCGGAGAGATGCAGGAAGGAGGAAAAAGAAGACTGTGGCCTTCCTCTGGTACTCCCTTGCAGGCCATGGCTTGAGGAATGAAGATGGTTAAGCCTATATGGGCGTATCTAGGGGTCCCGTACTTTCTGGAACTCCCCCGCTCTGCAACGGACCCTTGTGCAGGTCTAGGCTTCGGTGGTTTGGGTTTGCGCTTGCATCCGGCACCGTGATGTTTTTGGGGAGCTGAGACTGAACCTGGTGCTCAGTCTCAGGGAGTCAAGAGAAAGCATCACCTCCAGTCAGTTTAGTTGAGTGTAGGAAACTACTAAACATCTGCAAACTGCGACTACCGGAATTATCCTTGATAAGGTCTCAGTAGGCTGCAGTCATTCAAGACGGGGCATGGGTCTGAAATTCCAAAGCATAGTGGCTTCTTCCTCAGTCTGCAAGCTTTTGGGTTCTTTCCAGGGGCAGGGAATCACAATTGTGGAGATCTTTGGTCTTGGTTTGAAGCGACGTGCAAGAGACTTATCTCTCCCTTCTGACCCTCCCGCCTCAGAAGCGAAGGTTGCTGAATTCCAGCTGCACGGCTCTGACTTACGGTCTGGTATAATTTGGATTCGGGTTGAAACGAGTCGGGAGCCCTGCCGTGCATGTGTTGGACGGAATGCTTGGGATTCGCTTTGTGCTCTGGAGTTGTGAATACCGCCCACCTCAGCTCCCTACCGTGGATCTTCATATTAGCCCAGTTTAGGGTGGGCTTGCCTGCAAATTTATGCGGAGTCCTCCCGGGCCAATCATGTCGAGGTGTCTGTGTACAGCGTGATCGTGCAGGAAAGGAACTTGAATACCATCGTGCGATACCCTGAACATCGAAGAAGCATCGCAAGCAAAAGTAGGTGTGATTCAACTCTCCCGACCCCATGACGTCCGGAACTTCGCTTGGCCTTGCCAGCACTCTGCTTCGGGTTGCAGGCTTCAGGGCCCTCTCGCCTTTAAAGCTGAGGTTTCGATTCCGCCGAGTACATTCGCCATGGCGCCAAGGGGAACATTTTTGAAAACATCGATGACTCACAAGTCACTCTTGGTGTGACTTGGTCAGAAATCGGTCCTGTGTCCGTCTCGGTTTGTGAAGGCTTCCTCCCGGGGCGTAGGCAGTAACTAAGTTAGAGCCTCGCAGCCAGCGCTGAAAGCTTCGCTGTTGCCACATCTCTGTTGAGACTGCTGGAGGCCGTTGCACCCCAAACTTTAAACTCTCAAGTCTACAGCCTGATATCAAAGCCCCTGAACCCACAAAAACGGTCTACAGTCGGAAAAGGCTAGCAGAGTTGTTCCCGAGCCTTGCATCGGCCCAGAGCACCCAAAAGAAGCGAAGTTGATAGTCATCATTCTTGCCATGCCTCCGTGGCTCTAGTATCAAAATAAGAGACTCCCAACTTGAGAACCCCCTTTTTTTTTTCAGAACCTTTCACAAAACCCATGCGACCTCCCATTTCTCCGAGGTCATGGCTTTGGACTCGGAGTTCAGCGCCTTCCTCGACTCCCTCAGGCGGAATGCGGGGTAGTTTCAGGAGGGTGTCGGGCTTCCTTAGGGCTAAAGTCGAGGGACACACCAGATCGCAGGCTCGACACCCGGGATCTTTCCTTGGGATTCCGGCTGTGTATCTTTGAAGTCCGCGCCGAGCTGAGTCTGGCCGCCTGTAGCAGTGTAAGGCCAAATTCGAAGCCGTCTGTGTTCAACCCCAAGCCGAGCTATCGAAAGAGAAAGCTGCTGAACTCCTGGGCTTCGGCTTCCTCTCAGCGAGACCAGGTACTCCCATCCCTTCCGGAAAGTGATTATCATGGGTGCGCAGATTTTCAACGAGACAAGCTACAGCATCAGCACGCCAGGAGGTGGGCCCCGTGAATTCTGCGCGATTCGACCCGCTTCCTTGTACCCTCGGTGACACCCTAAACACCCTAATAAAAGGCACAACGGAAATCCAGATCGTGTCCGTCTCCGGGGATCCGGCGGCTTGGTTTGGGAGAACCCTGAACCCCAATGCAGCAGACGCAGGGGACCGGAACCCTAAGCCCCCCCAAAAAAATAGAAAGCCTTAAGAAGTTGCTTGAAAGCTTATCGAACGAGCGACTTGGTGTTTCCTCTCAGCAGCCTTGAGCAACAAGCCATGTCGGTGGATAGGTAGGTCGGTAAGTCATGCAGGTCGGTAGATCGGTAAGGTCTGTCGGTAGGTCGGTAGGTCCGTGGGTCGGTAGGTGGGTAGGTCTTTGAGCAAGGAGATATGCAGTGATATTCACAGAAGCAGGTATCCTTTTCCGATTTCTGGTCTGGGCCTGGGCTTTGTTAAAGCTCAACCAATCCTCGCCCAGTCTTCGTCCCCTTTGGTATTGCCAAGTCCGACATCGAGAAATTTGATGCCCATCTGGAATTCTCAAAGAGGATTGACTGAGGAATATACCTCAGCCTGTATTCAGAAACGGTATATACTCTTAGGCACAAGGCTCGGTAGGTTTCCACAACCGAGGTGGAGCTCTACTGTGAACTGGCTTCACTGGTCACTACCAGGCCTCGATGTGTTTTTCGGCCAAAGTCACTTCGATGTTGTGGGAAGATGCCTTCTCAAGAGCTTGCCCTGACGCAGATGACTTTGCAGATAGATCGATATGACATTCCTGAACCCGGAGCCCGGTAGGATGTTGTCGGATATAGAGGATGAGCTTGAGAGGGTCGGCTCCCGTCAGTCACACTATTGCATGTTCATCACTCGGTCTTTAGCACGTCTGTGAGACTTCCAAAATACCGAGAAGACCTGATGGAGCTCCTCAGCAATACGCTTAGCCCTCAAAAACTGGAGCCGCAACTTTAGGATGCGGACATGTCCCGATTCGTATAAGTTTGCAACGATGGCGCTGCAAGACAGAAAGCTTCCAGGCAGACTCGTCCAAGTTGGGGCCAAATAAGGTAAGGAAAGCATGCATGGTTGGCATAGCCGTGAGTTTGAAGCTTCTAACCATTCTTGAGTTCGGGTCTGGCTGAGAAGTTCACGATTGAGCAGGTACCTCGTGCTGACAAACACCGCCAGCATCGTTTCAAGCCCAGCGAGCATTCTGGTGAACGGTGCAGGCAGGACGATGATGGTGGAGTCCTCATTTTCAGCTCTGGACAGGTGCATATCAGATCAGTAGTTTTATGTAGAGATGTTGTTGCCTTCGTTCCCCTTTTGTCGGCTGCTGTCACGGCTGGGGGTTTAAGCATGCCCGAACGGCCATACGTCTGCGCCTGCCGATCTGAAGGCCATCCGGTGCTGCCCTACGTCCATGCAATCTCGTGGTACTGTTTGCAATTCCCGAGCTGCACCTCTGTGGCTTGGCTGTTTCAGGAAGAGAGAGGAGCCCTTCTACGAACCCTGATATGAACCCTTGCAGGAACAGAGTGGCTTATAGAAACCCTTGCTCAAACTCTTCAAGACAGAACATTTCCATGTCTGGCTTTTCAGAATGAATGCTAGGACCGCTAGGAGGCCTTCAGGAAGTTTTGAATTAAGCTCACGTCAAGAGTTTTGCTTCAGCTGCCCTATGTGCGGCTGGAGAGTGAAGTGTGACCAGCGGTTCGTTCCGGATTTGGAAGCTGACTGGCTCCAAGCATTTTTTGCCCGCTCGGTGCTACACCCGCACGTGGATGAGCAGACATGTTTTATCGTGATGTCGTGCAGCTTGATGAATCAATGGTGGCCTCTGCCGCCACTAGCGGTAGCTGGTACGACGGGAGGGCTTAGTGGGCTGGTGTTGGGGTTGCTTCGGGAGGTTGCGTTCAGGGACTCTCCGCTTGCGACTGCCACTGCCTGTGAGTGCCCTCTTCCGCCATTCCTTGACCCTCCTGCCTCGGGCATTCACATCCCTTCACTCATCCTTGGACTTCTCTTGGGTGTGCTGCTTGGGCCGGCTCTGGATTTGGCCTTCCTGCTGCGACTCTCGGTTTTGCGTGCGGTTCGTAGGCGGGTAGGGGGCGGTTCGGGTTGGTATAGGGTGTTGGATGAGTGAGGTGGAGGTTCTCAGGCTTCGTGCAGAAGTTGCCGAGCTGAGGCTTGCTGTCCAGGCTTTGACTGAGCGAGTGGCTGCCCTCGAAAGCTCTGAAGGCTTCGAGGTTGTACATTCGCAGGCCGACGCATCAGCTGCCTCTCCACTGCGAGCTACGCCGGGTCGCCGGGCAAGCAGCACTGTTCTTAGTGAAGCCAGCCAGGGGCGAGCTTCAGTTGCTGAGAGTGAGAGCGGGCGAGACCCGGAGCGGGTTGCTGTGGCCCGTGAGGTGGGCCGCTTCCTGCGAAGGGCGTATAGTGGAGAGCATAGGGGAGCTTCTGGCAGGGATAAGGTTTCTTTGGCCTCTCGGTACTACATTGTCCTTGCCCCTTACAGCGGAGAACTGTACAACAAAGCTAGGGTGTACTCAAAGTTTGCGCCTGTCAAAGCTTTGTGCAAGCGAGGGCCTGACGCAGGCCGCAGTGTGTTCATCGGACTGCCTACCTTGTGGGAAACTAGCTTGGCTTTGCAGGAAGCTGGGTTTGAGTGGCCCGAGGGTGGGGTAGATGCCGAGTGAAGGAGGCTTGGGAAGCGGAGCCTCTCTTGACGGAGAGGCTGACGAGCGAGAAGAGGTGTTAGCAGCAGCCCCAGATCTTCGACCTTTCGTGTTGGCAGTGTCCCCGGAAGCTGCATCCGAATACAGAGTGGCAGCTTACAGTAGGGAGCTGGACGGTGCGAGCCTTAGCTGTTCTGTTATTCCTGTGGCCGAAGTAGAGGGCCTCCTCCTCGTGGCAGTTCCTCACAACGCATGGCACAGGCTGGCTGCGAAGCGCTACCTACCGCACGGTACTCTTGCAAAAGCTGTGCATACCGAAGTGCTGGCAGCAGAGCAGGGGATGGGCACTTCAAAGTCAAACTGTGGCTGGGGATCCTGGCCGCAGAGGCCGAGGAGCACCTGGTTTTTGGTGGCGTGGACGAGTCAACCGAGCGGGGCTTTGTCATTTCGGGCACAGAGCGGCCGATCTTCCCGTACGGGCCGTCCTTGACAGCAGCTGCCCGAGATTTGTTCACTTTCATGTCTGCGGCGGAGGACGCGCCACCAGGACCCCCAGACGTGCCGGGGCCGGAGCCCAAGCAGGACTTGGCCGCAAAGGTCAAAAGCATCGAGAATGCAGTGTTTGGCCTGCAGGGCGGACTGGATGCCATCCGGCAGCAACTGGAGCGAGTACCTGGCGGCGAGGGGCAAACGAAGCCTTACGTGACGCCGAAGGCGAGCGCGCAACCGCGTGCCGGTGGAGGACGGGCGAAGGTGGCGAGGAACGTGGAAGGCCTGGATCCTACCGTCTTGGCCGCCGCGAGCTGCCGGGGTGCCGGAAGACCAGCTGGGGAGATGGAGCTCGATTGGCTGCCTCCCCTTTGTCGGAGTCCGACGGGGCAGACGAGGCGACGCGGCGGCCGCTCCGGAGAATGTCAGTGCGGCGATTTGCAAGATGACCGAGATTTTGGGACGGCTGGCGAAGGGAAAGCGATCGAGCTCTCTGGAGGACCTCCTCGAACGGGGGGACGGCCTGGAGACTACGGCGAGCTCAAGCAGCGGGGGCTCTTCGAAAAGTGCCGCTTACGCAAAGCTGACGGCTCTTCTGAAGGAGGACCCGGAAAAGATCTCGAAGTCTGTGCTGAAGCTGATGGCCGAGGACTATGGAGCTCACACGTCGGCTCCAGGCATGGACGGCGTGCGCATGACGGCGCGCTCATGGCTGGAGCACAGGAGCAGGGTGCAACAGTATGCGGGGCCAGTCAGATGGGGATGGCAAACTGCCGGAGCACTAGATGCCCTGCTGAGTGGCAAGGTGGAGGAGTGCAAGGCGAGACTGTGCCGCATGTTGTGTGCCCTGGACCAGAGTT